GTGATTACTATTTCTTTTCAAATGCTTATATGCCACCCATTTACACCGCACTTCCCGTCAAGAATTGGAATTTGAATATCATTTAGTTTTAGTTTCTGGATCTCACGGAGAACACTGTCCCGATTCATTGTAGGATTTCTGCCTTGTCTCCACTTTATAAATAAGTAACTAGATAGACTACCTTACCATTAGGCTACTGCGCTCATAAAGTGCCGGCGTGATCAGGGGCCTCATTTATAGGATTCACGTGGGAAGGTTGCTTACGTAGTAGAAATCCAAAAAATAGGTACAGAAATGTTCCGACATTTTCCGATTCACAAAACATTGCGTACCGGCGAGGAAAGTGCGTACGGCACTTCCTACGCCGGTTTCCCTTTATAAATCACAACCGACTCGAAATGCGGTGCAGCTTTTGCGGGCTTCACGTAACGCCCATATTTGCCTATAAATAGTCAAAGAAACGCCCATTCATTCATTCATTCTGACTGACTTTATGAAGAAGATAGCAGGAAATGACGACAGAACAGCTAAAAAAGACATCTCACACCGTGTCAGATTTTGGTTATTTTGGGGAGGTGGAGATAAATCATATTGTTTGGTGGATGCCGTTTGAACCAGAGTAGCAGCATGGAGGTCGGATCGTCACCAAAATAAATAAATAAGTGGTCCGAAAAAGGTTAATGACAAAAAAAATACACATAGCCTTCCTCAGGCAGTGTGTTTGTACCGGGGACAGGAGACACCCCCTTGATGAGAAACTGTAAGAAGTGAACGGGGAATCCCTCCGGAGTGGAGTCATGACGACTGGATCTGAATTATGTTTTTGTATTTGGTGGTTTGTGTCCCAGCTGTCGATCAGCTGTGCGCAGCGTCTCCACTGCAGCCTGTGCATCTCAACCCCCCCATCCCCGCAGCAACTCTATATCCACCAGTTAAAGGAAATACAACCAATGTGTTGTGTTATATTTGCTGTACAATTTACCACATATGGTGTTCTTAGTTTCCATACCTCCTGTGTTTTACGAGCGACTTATCAAGTCTTAGCAAATGGCATACAACACGATTAAACATGATAGTATGCAACACGGCGTCAGTTTAAAGTAATTATGTCCTCCTGCTTACCGCATCATTTATGAGAAAACAATTCATAACATTATCACAACATATTCGAGGTGGTTTTAAATAACATATCCGTATTTATTTATTTCTCCAAGTTATGTTTTTGTGTGCACTGAGGAGTCGTAAACAGGCGTTTGTTTAATCATTTTAAGATTGGCTTTAATCAATGTTTGAAAATGAATTCTTCATATATGATAAATGAGAGGTGACATTTTATTTATGGTATTATTTCCACATATTTCTCTCCATTCTTCCTTCTGCCAACGCGGTGTCGCAGTTTCTCGTCTCTCCCGTTGTTGTGCTTAGTGCGTACGCATGGGTTAGAGTTTGCGTGGAGGACCGCACATTTTCCCGTCAAGTTAGTATTTTATAAATCGCAAACATTGCGTAGAAACTGGCGTACGCCATTTTTTGAGCGTATATCCCTTTATAAATGAGGCCCCTGGTCACATGACCTGTTCAAGCCGGTGCCGCATAAAAACAACAGTCCGGACAAGTACTGGCTTGAAACTATATGCCAGTCTTTGTTTCATGCAAAAAGACCCAGTAAACACGGAGATACGATGATATAAAGTTAATACAAATATATTTCAAAAGTATGAAAAATGGAAGCACATATATTTTAATATCTTCGCCGTATTTTATCATTTTACGTGATTAGTGAGTTTATTTAAGGTAATTAGGTAGAAGCCCTTTTTGATCAGTAACGAATTTAGCAGTTGAACATAAAAGTCAACTGACTTGCAATGACAATAGGCGCATTCACACTGCGGTACTTTTCCCACAAAGGTTCATGTGAACTTAGTTCATGTGAACTCTTTTATCGCGTTCACACCAAAAAGAGCCGGTACTAAAATTAGTTCATGTGAACCTTTTTACCCCCACGAAAGTCCCTGCTAGAGAGCAGGGACTTTCGTGGGGCTCTCTTGTGAGAAAAGAGCTATATTTCTGATTGGCTGGGCGGATTGCAAACCACGCCCCGTAAAACTCCCAAAAAGTTTTGTGAAGCCGCCATTTTATTATCCTCGCATTAGCATTATTAGCATTAGCATTTGCCCAGCAGAGAGACTAACTTATGGCAACACAAAATAAAACATGGGAGCGGTGGAGAAGAGGAGGTGTCGGCGTTCTGGCGATTTACTCGGAAGGCTTCAGTAGAAGCTGCTGGGAGTCCCAGCAGCTTCTACTGAAGCCAGTCCCCAACTCCGGGGACTTCCGGCCGGGGACTTTGGGCGGCAGTATACGCCGTGAAGTGGTTTGCGGCCTGCCAGTAAACCCAAAGCAGAAGAAGAACAAGTGACGTCAGTGGCTTCATTTGTCTAATCCACCCCCAGGGGCTTTTTCCAGTGTGAACGCGATCTGTACTTAGTTCATGCGAACTAATAGGCGCTTTCACACTGCGGTACTTTTCCCACAAAGGTTCATGTGAACTTAGTTCATGTGAACTCTTTTATCGCGTTCACACCAAAAAGAGCCGGTACTAAAATTAGTTCATGTGAACCTTTTTACCCCCTCGAAAGTCCCTGCTAGAGAGCAGGGACTTTCGAACGGCTCTTTTGTGAGAAAAGAGCTACATTTCTGATTGGCTGGAAGGATTGCAAACCACGCCCCGTAAAACTCCCAAAAAGTTTTGTGAAGCCGCCATTTTATTATCCTCGCATTAGCATTATTAGCATTAGCATTAACCCAGCGCAGAAACGCAGAGAGACTAACTTATGTCAACACAAAATAAAACATGGGAGTGGTGGAGATGAGGAGGTGTCGGCGTTCTGGCGATTTACTCGGAAGGCTTCAGTAGAAGCTGCTGGGACTTCCAGCAGCTTCTACTGAAGCCAGTCCCTAACTCCGGGGAATTCTGGCCGGGGACTTTGGGCGGCAGTATACGCCGTGAAATGATTTGCGGCCTGCCAGTAAACCCAAAGCAGAAGAAGAACAAGTGACGTCAGCGGCTTCATTTGCCTAATCCACCCCCAGGGACTTTTTCCAGTGTGAACGCGATCTGTACTTAGTTCATGAGAACTAAAGAGTTCTCATGAACTAAGTTCACATGAACCTTTGTGGGAAAAGTACCGCAGTGTGAATGCGCCTAGTGTTGTGTTTTTATTTTATGAACCTTTTACATTACAAATTGTTGTTGAATATATAAATATTATTATGGATAAATGCTAGGCTATTTATTATAAACGTTAGTCCTTAACATCTATCACTGTGTATATCACCATTCTTTAATTAGCCTATATGTTTGATACGTTTCTATGAAATAAGAAATTAGTTTTAAACAAAGAGTTCGCAACATACATAGCCTAGGCATAGGGGGGTGGGGGCTGCATGGTGAACGGTATAGTCAATGTTTGTAAACACTGTGAATTGTTGACTTTATTTGATCATTTCAGTTAAAAACTAACGTTCATATTTCTCTTTTTGAGAAGAGAAATATGAATATGTTAGTGGCTGACCCAGCCCCATGGTCTGTCACAGTAGTGCGGGAAAGAGAAGTGCACTGTTTTGCCTCGCTGGACCTGTATTTGTATCTACCGGAAAGGAGTGAGCAGAGGGTTCTGTTCTGTTTTCTGTGAACAATCCTCACCCTCTCACTTTCAGTTGCGCGCGCTACTAAAGCTACACGCTACCATGGAAACCAAACAATGGTGTAGCTGTAAGATCAGGGGGGGGGGAGAGGGGAGAGAGCTGTGCCTGATGGGCCATTAGGTGTGTAAACACACAGCTGAGAGCTGCCGTTTCATTCTGACTGTTTAAAAAACGGTAACAACGGACTATTTTTCTTAGCGGATGCATGTCAATTTAAATCAATACAAACATTTTCTAAATCCATAAAAGCATTTCAATTAATATTGGGAGTCATGTCGTTACTTTTTTGAGAATGTGGCCATGTAATAAGCGGGATAATGTGCAGCGACTTGGTCATTATGGGGAAAATAACACCCTTCATCCAGATCAAGATCCAGACACTGATCTGCCTGACGAGGCTCCATTAAAATATAAATATTTTTAGTGAATTACTGAGTTTAGGCACAATAATAACGTTTTAATGTTGATTACAGTATATTCATATTTGTCAGTGCTTTCATGTAAATTTGGCAAACATAAATTATCGTGGTGAAGATGATGATTAAATTAGAATTAAAAATTGAGAGCATTTCCTCCCGTTCATTTTTGGAGCCGGCGGGCTTCCTGATATTTTTTGTACAGTAGTTGTGGACTAACCAAGATTATTTTGTTAAATAAAAACATGGTGATGTTTTGTAGCCTAAATGATTACATGTCTCTTATTTAGCACAGAGTATGATCCTATCCGTGACATATGGATCTTAACAAAGATCCGCTATACAGTAGCCTACCAGACATAAATCTACCGTACTGTATCAGAGTTTATTTCACATGAGCTCCAGTGTGGAACCCCACTGCACCCCCTGGTGGATCAATGATCCATTGCAGCTGGCTTCATTATAATTACATTTATTTATCAAGGGGGCGGTCTCAAGTCACGCTGGAGGTTTTCCTTTGAGCGAGGGCAGACCCTGTGCCGGCCACGGCCCTCGCGTTTCAAACTGTCTGAAATGAGGTGCTACATCTGTAACCCCGGACCCCCCTAGAGAAGGTGATGTCCACCCCCCAATTAAAACATGTTCATACAATAATAAATACATTTCAAGCCTTTTTGATGTATATCAATAAGTTTCTGTTTTTGTAGTGTATTGGTCTTTTGTATCGATCTTCATCTTTTCTACTGTACTGATTTTCTGGCTGGGGGGGGGTGGGGGGGGTGCCAGCTAAAAATCTGGCCTAGGGCAGCAAATTGGCTAGAACCGGCCCTGATTACCGCACTACTTCAGTGACAGACTGTCTCTCTCCTCATGCAGGAGACCTACGTTCAGCCCCTGGTGGCCGTGAAGCTGCTGCTCACCAAAGAGGACTACAACAAGGAACTGGCGATTGAGTGCAAGGTGGAGGGCTCCGACCTCCGTAACAACGACGAGAGGGATAAGTTCCTGGGCCGTGTCACCTTCCGGATCAAGGTGGAGGCGTAGGTGGAGTAAAAGGACGAGAAACCCACGCAGAGGCTGACCAGGATTTGAAAAATAAAGATAACAAAAACGTGTCAAAAACGTCACAAAGACGGCATTTTTGGGACGTGGCCCGACAGTTTGTTGTAGATAGGTTAGATGCAGATATTGAATGACATTCTGACCCTTCTTTTCCTTCACGATCTCCCCAAAGGTCAGACACAGGCTCTGCTTCCTGACCCCATCATCTCATTCACCTGTTGCACTGCGCATTCCTCACCCCTTTTTAATATGTTTTAATTTGTAGTATTGATGTGATTAGAAACCGTATAGCCATTTCAACTAAGCTACTTGGAGCTGTTGTGTAATTGCTGATACAACTTTTTTAGTTTTGTTTTTTCTGCTCATACCTCATTCCAATCTGTATGAATGAGCGCATTGTCGCTGGAAGATTCGTACCTTTCTGTATAGTGTAATTGAGAAAGTAGAACATCACTTAATCGCATCACAAAGACGTCATAGGAAACGTACCTTGATAATCAAGTATAGCCACTGTATCTCTGTATATGAAATGCCAATTACAAAGTCCCTTTCTACATATAAATACATTGTGATCCTTATCATATTTAGGGAATTATAGATAGTTCTTCGTGTCGAGGCCTGCGTGGCCGCGACCCCGTCTCGTGCTGTATGTCCGTCTGTCTGCATGTCTGTCTGCCTGTCTGTCCGTCTGTCTGTCTGCCCGTCTTCCTGTTTACTCACCTCTCCACTGCAATAGCCAACATGTGGGCGGGCCCTCCGGGAGAAGCTGTCTCGCTCCACCTTCACCGGGTGCTGCGCAGTGATGGTGGCTGAGGCGACACACACACACACACACACACACACACACACACACACACACACACACACACACACACACACACACACACACCGAGAGAGTACAGTGTAAACAAACTAGAAGAAGTCGCAAAATACAAACTGTAACTATGTATTGTATATATCTGGGTCTCAACGATTGTTCGTCAGTTTCTTCAGCCTGTTGATCTGATTGTCTGCCAATCTATTACTCTTCAATGTATATGTATATACACACACTATCTACCATATTTACTTCACACTGTATTTTTGTCACAAAACACAATGTCTGTGCACTGTAAAGAAATAATTTAAGCAAAGATTTACAGGAAATGATCTTATTCAAAGCTATGTTTACACAGTCTTAAAAGGAACCCTCATTTGAAAGACCATCTTGTAACATCTCTTCAGGGTGCCTTAAGACCTGATCAAATAAATGGTGGAATAAAAGTGATTTTGAAGAAAAATATATTTTCTCCTGTGTATTTTTTGTATTTATTTTACTTTATGTCCTAGATGTAGGCTACCTAAAGTTATCCGTAGATAAGACCTAATTTCCATATTTAAGCATTTTATCTCAGAAAACAGTAAGTAATAGCCTGTAACTAAGTAATCCATTTGGTTATTTAAATTGTATCTATTCATTTTTGGTATCCTGTTCCCCTGTTGTGTTTGGCAAAATGGATGGAAATGTTCAATACATATGGACAAACAAAGGACATTTTATCAGAAATTCGTTTTTCCTCACACTATGAGCCACAAATCTAAATGTTTTACTTTCAAAAAGGGCAAAAGAGGGTGTCGTATTGTTTGTTTGTATTTATTTATAGAAGGACCATGCATACAAAAACATTAATCTCAGCAAAGAGAAGAGATGCAATATGCCAGATTATAGCTAATAGCTCATTTCCATCTGTGGTCCTCAGGCAGGTTCATAACAATCAATAAACAAATATACTACTGATACTGATACTCTGTACAAACTGTGAAGTCCACTGAGACAAATGTAACATTTGAATTGAATTGATTTATTTAAAACAAGGGACAGTGTACATTAATCAACATATTAAAAACATGTAAAAGTACTCAAATTAGCCAAAAGGCTAGTTTTCATTTGTGATATTGGGCTATATAAATAAACATTGTGTCAGGGTGAGTGAAGCAGACAGGACCCAAATGCAGAATAAACAGAAAATACCTTTATTTCAAGGTTTTAAATAGGAACAAACAGAACACTACCCCGTGAACACAGTCATAGACAAACAACAAGGATCCAACAATGACAGACAGAAAAACCAGAACTTAAATGCACACAAGACTAATCACACAAACAAGACACAGGTAAGGAGAGAGGAGAAAACACAGGGGCACAAGGTGAACACAATCAGGAAATCAGACACAGGAGCCAAACACAGAGACAGGAATCAACAGACAAGACAGGGGGTGAACACTTTTCAAAATAAAACAGGAAACCAGAGACAGACAAAACACAACACAGACAGACCGTGACATTACCCCCCCTCAAGGGACGGATCCAAGACATCCCTAAAAAAAGGCAAGGCAAGGCAGAGTTAAAAAAGGGGTAAAGGCGGAGCAAGGGCTGGTGTCGACGGGACCCCAAACAGGACAGGACATGGTGTTGGCAGGAAACCCGGCGGAGCAGGTGTCGGCGGGACCCCCAACAGGACAGGATATGGTGTTGGCAGGAAACCCGGCGGAGCAGGTGTCGGCGGGACCCCCAACAGGACAGGATATGGTGTTGGCAGGAAACCCGGCGGAGCAGGTGTCGGTGGGACCCCCAACAGGACAGGATATGGTGTTGGCAGGAAACCTGGCGGAGCAGGTGTCGGTGGGACCCCCAACAGGACAGGATCTGGTGTTGGCAGGAAATCTGGCGGAGCAGGTGTCGGCGGGACCCGCAACAGGTTAGGGCACGGAGTTGGCAGGACTCCCAACGGAACCCCCCACGGAACAGGACATGGGGTTGGCAGGACTCCCAACGGAACCCCCAACGGAACAGGACATGGAGTTGGCAGGACCCCCGGCAAGACAGGTGTCGGCTGAACCCCCAACGGCACAGGACATAGGGTTGGCAGGACCCCCGGCAGAACAGTAGTCGGCGGGACCCCCAACAGGACAGTACACGGAGTTGGCAGGACCCTCAGCGGAACCACTAACGAAACAGGACATGGAGTTGGCAGGACCCCCTGCAAGACAGGTGTCGGCTGGACCCCCAACGGCACAGGACATTGGGTTGGCAGGACCCCCGGCGAGACAGGTGTCGACTGGACCTCCAACGGCACAGGACATAGGGTTGGCAGGACCCCCGGCAGAACAGTAGTCGGCGGGACCCCCAACGGCACAGGACATTGGGTTGGCAGGACCCCCGGCGAGACAGGTGTCGACTGGACCTCCAACGGCACAGGACATAGGGTTGGCAGGACCCCCGGCAGAACAGTAGTCGGCGGGACCCCCAACGGCACAAGACATAGAGTAGGGACTAGAGAAGGGACGAGAGAAGGGATTGAGTAGGGACTGGAGAGGGGACTTGAGATGGGACTGGAGAGGGAACTTGAGAGGGGACTCGAGAGGTGACTCGAGAGGAGACTTGAGAGGAGACTCGAGAGGAGACTTGAGAGGGGACTCGAGAGGAGACTTGAGAATGAACTCGAGGGGAGACTTGAGAATGAACTCGAGGGGAGACTTGAGAGGGGACTCGAGAGGGGACTCGAGAGGGAACTTGAGAAGGGACTGGAGAGGGGACTTGAGATGGGACTGGAGAGGGAACTCGAGAGGGAACTTGAGAGGGGACTCGAGAGGTGACTCGAGAAGGGACTCGAGAGGAGACTTGAGAGGAGACTCGAGAGGTGACTTGAGAGGGAACTCGAGAGGGGACTTGAAAGGGAACTCGAGAGGAGACTCGAGAGGGAACTTGAGAGGTGACTTGAGAGGGGACTCGAGAGGGAACTTGAGAGGTGACTTGAGAGGGGACTCGAGAGGGAACTTGAGAAGGGACTCGAGAGGGGACTTGTGTCGGTCGGTATGCCGACAGGACATGGGGAGCTAGAGTCGGCCGGAACACCGACAGGACACAGGGAGCTGGAGTGGGCCGGAACGCCGACAGGACACGAGGGGCTGGAGTGGGCCAAACCACTGACATGACACAGGGGGCTGGCGTCGGCCGGGGAGCCAACAGGAGACGAGGTGCTGGAGTCGGCCGGTACATCGACAGGACACGGGGAGCTGGAGTCGGCCGGAACGCCGACAGGACACGAGGGGCTGGAGTGGGCCGAACCACTGACATGACACGGGGGGCTGGCGTCGGCCGGGGGGCCAGTACTGGAGCCGAAACTGGAGCCAGAAACATGGCAGCAGGGGCCAAAACTGGGGCCGGAACCATGGCTGCTGGGGCCAGGACTGAGGCTGGAAGCATGGCTGCTGGGGCCAGGACTGAGGCTGGAAGCATGGCTGCTGGGGCCAGGACTGAGGCTGGAACCATGGCTGCTGGGGCCTGTACTGGAGCCCAAAACATGGCTTCTGGGGCTCGGGTTGCTAGCCTGGACTTGCGACTCCTTCTCTTAGGAGCCTTTTGGAGGCTCCGTGGACCTCCAAAAGCCAGACGAGTACCCGAGAACGGATCCTGGACAGGAGCAGGAAAAGGAAAAGAAGCAGGGGCTGACTCCAGACAGAACAAACCGAGACGTATGGTGTCAGGTAGGGAATTTGGAGGCAGGGGGCTAGCATGCCTGGGGCTAGCAGGCCGGGAATCACATGTCGGAGGAAGTCCAAAATCCAGTCAGGTAAGAACTTCACTAAACATGGCTCCTCTGTTGCCACCTGGTGAGCCTCTTTCTGCTGAACACTGGATGCTCCCCTCCACCTACCATAGCAGCAAGCCAATGAAAAGGTAAAATTAAGTAAATCCACCTCAAATGGATCTGCTGGGCCCATCTTTGGTTGGATCCTTCTGTCAGGGTGAGTGAAGCAGACAGGACCCAAATGCAGAATAAACAGAAAATACCTTTATTTCAAGGTTTTAAATAGGAACAAACAGAACACTACCCCGTGAACACAGTCAATCAATCAATCAATCAATGTTTATTTATATAGCCCAATATCACAAATGTTACATTTGTCTCAGTGGACTTTACAGTTTGTACAAAATATCAGTATGACAATACGACACCCTCTGTCCTTAGACCCTCACATCGTACAAGGAAAAACTTCCGAAGAAAACCCACAGTTTAAAGGGAAAAATGGGAGAAACCTCAGGGAGAGCAACAGAGGAGGGATCCCTCTCCCAGGACGGACAGACGTGCAATAGATGCCGTGTGTAAATTGAAAAGATAATACATTTGCAACATAGGTAGTCCAAATGTTTGGAAATGCATGTGTGTATAATAGGAAGATGAATCCACGAGGATATCCATCCAGGACCTATGATCCAGGACCACAGCCACGACTCAAGATCCAAGGCTCGCGATCCAGGAGAGAGGAGCGCAGGATCATCCATGACTCCGGATCCCGGCGTATATAGACACCAAAAAGAAAGACATTTGGGGAAGCTGGGTTAATCGGAACATGAGAGTACACAAGTATAGACAGAGAGAAGGAAGAAGTAAGATGTCCCCCGACAAACTAAGCCTATATCAGCAAAACTAGGGGCTGAATCTAATCAGCCCTAACTATAAGCTTTATCAAAAAGGAAGGTCTTAAGCGCACTCTTAAAAACGGATAGGGTGTCTGCCGCCCGAACACAAACTGGAAGCTGATTCCACAAATGTGGAGCTTGATAAGAAAAGGCTCTGGCTCCCATTGTACTTTTAGAGACTCTAGGAACAACCAACAACCCTGCATTCTTGGAACGCAATGCCCTAGTAGGACAGTAGGGTATAATGAGTTCTTTAAGGTAAGATGGCGCCTGCCCATTAAGGGCTTTGTAGGCGAGAAGAAGAATTTTAAATTCTATCCTGTGTTCTATAGGGAGCCAGTGTAAGGCAGCCAGAACAGGAGTAATGTGGTCCCTTTTCCTAACTCTGGTTAGTACACGAGCTGCAGCATTTTGAATCAGCTGAAGCGACTTGACTGACTTCTTGGTACACCCTGATAATAAAGAGTTACAATAATCCAGCCTTGAAGTAACAAATGCATGGACTAGTTTCTCTGCATCGTTTTGAGGCAAGATATGCCTGATTTTTGCAATGTTACGTAGATGGAAGTAGGCGGTCCTTGAAATTGATTTTATGTGGGCGTTAAAGGATAGTCAGTCCTAGACAAACAACAAGGATCCAACAATGACAGACAGAAAAACCAGAACTTAAATGCACACAAGACTAATCACACAAACAAGACACAGGTGAGGAGGGAGGAGAAAACACAGGGGCACCAGGTGAACACAATCAGGAAATCAGACACAGGAGGGCAAACACAGAGACAGGAATCAACAGACAAGACAGGGGGTGAACACTT